GGGACTGCAGGCACCCACCACAATGCCCGGCTATCTTTTGGTTGCAGCTGTCATTGTTGTTTGGCGGGCCTCTGCCAGCTCAAGTGTATGTGGCTAGTGCCTTAGCCGCTTGAGTCACAGGCACAGAGCCTGTTTTTGTTTTTTAAACTGTCTTCCCTGGGCTAGAGTGCTGTGACATCGTCATAACTCACTGCAACTTCAAATTCCTAGATCCCAAGTAGCTGGGACTAGAGACACCCACCACAACACCTGGCTAACTTTTCTGGTTTTAGTAGAAACCCCATCTCACTCTTGGTCATGCTGACTCAACTTCTGAACTCAAGAGATCCTCCCACCTTGGCCTCCCAGGGTGCTGGGATTTATAGGAGTGAGCCACTACGCCTGGCCTAGAACCTGTTTTAGGGGGAGTTCTTTGTGTTCTTTATGTATATAATTTCAGTATGTTCCAGGTCTCATACAAGTCTTTCAAGGAAAATTTCCAAGATTTTTAGGGCCTCCTCCCTTATTTGAGGGGTTTGTTGATGCATTACTACAGAGTAAAAGATATCAGAGCATGCCAGGGTCTGGTTCCCATGGGCCACCACATAGAGTGGCTACTTCTCACAGTAGATGATGGCCACAGAAATATTCTTAACTTGTCATGGAGGGGAGGTGGGCAGAGGAGTCAGCTATCTTCAGGGGTGTCTGTGACCTCTGCCATGATGCCCAGAGAGGGCACCTGATGCTGGGAGGAGGGGTAAACTCACTCCATCCAGACACTTTCATGGTGCCACTCTGACCTCCTCCATCTACTTAGCTCTTTGGCCACTGCAGGGATCTTGCAAGGTGGGAAGAGGAACCACAGCAACAAGGGTGGCTGCCACACCTGGAGGTGAGGCCTCCATAGTAGCACACACTTGGTCGTCTGAGAGGTGTCTCGTGCATGTCCACAGTGAAAGACCTGGCAAGAGGGTCTTGCCTTTATTGTTATTACATGGACAAATGACTATGCCCATCAATGAGATAGGATCAAAAATAATTCTAAATGATACCGAGGGTGCCTATAGACTGGAGGACATAGAGGGACACACAGACTTACCAAGTGCACCTACCATCCCACAACCAGTCGGAGCTGGTACCACTGCAGCCCTGACTCCCAGCACAGGTCAAAGATTGCGGTTGAAATGCTGTTTGTATGCAACACTCAATGTGAGACTAATGTTACACTTCTAATTTGTTACTTTTATCGAGATCTAAGACCTGCATTAGTTAAAAATTTTTGCAAATGTGTATAGCAATTCCTTTGGATAAACTAAAAGCGATAGGATTGGATTACATGTGATACAACTGCCTGAGTCTTTTGTTTTTAGAATTATTTATTCTCATATTGTGAATCTCATATTTATGTGAATAATTATTAGAATATTTTGGTTTGGTGCCCATAGCGTAGTGGTTTTGGCACCAGCAACATGCACTGAAGCTGGCAGGATTGAACCTGGCCTGAGCCAGCAAAACAACAATGACATCTGCAACAAGAAAATAGCCGGGTGATGTGGGCACCTAAGTCCCAGCTACTTGGAAGGCTGAGGAAAGAATCGCTTAAGCCCAAGATTTTGACATTGCTATAGACTATTATGCCATGGCACTCTACCGAGGGTGACAAGTGAGACTCTTTCTCAAAAAAAAAATTATATTATGCATAGTTAGTATAAAATGATCATACCAGAGAGGGTGTGTGTGAAATCAAAATAAAATTCTACTCAAGCCCTCTGGCTGTCATTCCAAGATATGGACATTGGTTAAGAGTTTCTGGTGCAAATTTCCTGAGGAGTTGTAGGTATAAAGCAGATCTAAACACATACCCTCGGTCTACAGAGGAGACTCATTCCTCAGTCCACTCCCACATCCTTTAATAAGATTTACCTTTTTTTCCTCAGAAGTACTAATTAACATTTATTGAAGATGTAAGGTACTAAAAAAGTAATTTATCCTTTCATTAAAAAATATTTTACCTTAATATGTATTATGCTTTGGAATTATGTAAGTCCCATGTGGATAACTTTACATTTACTTCAAAAACTTTATTCTTTATAAAATATGCAAATAAATAGAATAATTCACCTACTAAAGCATTATCACATACAAGGCGGTATTGCTATCACCTTTCTAAATTACTGCAACGCATTCTTTTCCTGTTCCTTTATCTTCTGATTCTAGTGACAAAGTGAAAGCTAAATTGAAATTAAGATGGATGGTGTGACATCATTGCAAGACAGACACATGAAGAAAAAAAGTCATTTACAAAGAAGAAACCTGGGCCCAAGAAAGTGGAAGATGAGGAGTCTGCTGAGTTCCAAGGAACCTGTGCCAGGAAAGTGGCAGACAAGGGGTCTAATGAGGTCCAAAGAACCTGGGCCACAAACGTGACTGACGAGGACTCCACTGAGGTCCAAGGAACCTGGGCCCAGGAGAGTGGCAGACACAGAGTTTACTAGGATCCTAGGAACCTTGGTCCAGGGTAGTGGCAGACAAGGAGTCTACTGAGGTCCAAGGAACCTGGGCCCAGGAAAGTGGCAGACGAGGAATCTATTGAGGTCCAAGGAACCTGAGCCAAGAAAAGTAGCAGAAGGAGAGTCTGCTGAGTTCCAAGGAACCTGGGCCCAGGAAAGTGGCAGTCAAGGAGTCTACTGGGTTCCTAGGAATGTGGGCCCAGGAAAGTGGCAGTCAAGGAGTCTACTGAGTTCTAACAAACCTGGGTCAGGAAAGTGGCAGGCGAGAAGTCTACTGAGTTCCAAGGAACCTGGGCCCAGGAAAGTGGTAGAAGAGTAGTCTACTGTGTTTCTCATTTCGGCTCATCTTTTCATGGGCAGGTGTGCTAAAATCCAGAATGCTTCATAAATTTGCATTTTATCCTTGTGCAGGAGCCATCCTAATCTTCTCTCTATCGTTCCAATTTTAGTGTATCTACTGCTGAAACAAGCTCAGATTTATTCTTAATGGTAATATTTCCACAAAACAAACTCAATCATAATTCCTACATGTCCTTCCACAGACTTGCATACCCGTCCCATCATCAGCACTTCTAGGAACCCTGAGTCCCCCCGCCCCCCGCCGCCACAAGATTCTTTTGCACCATGTGGTTGTGCTGTACACACACAGTGGTCTTCAGCTGGTGTCTGGCTGGTTTCAGAGACCTGCATGACTGAGCATAGCCCTAAAAGGGCTGTCACCAGAGCACCTGTACCTGGCCCCTCTAGCTTGTGGATTTCAGGGTGGTCAGACTTCTCACCCGGGGACTCAGAGATAATGAACAGAGAGCCTCAAAAGACAGGCTGGGAGAGAGGCTGGTGCCCACATTCCTGGGCCAGAACCAAGCACAGGGACTCTTTCCTGATTTGGGGGGGGGGGGGGGGATGGCATAGCTGTCACTGAAGCCACCTGGTTTTCATGGGAGGAGACATGACCCTACCTCTCTGTTAGAGACTGGACTCTGGGGGAAGGCATCAGCCCATCCTGGTTCACACCTAGTCAGCCAAAGCCCAAAGGACTCCAAAGTGCCACAGGATGTGCCTTGACCAAAGTGGCCCTAACTGGCTGTGGTTTACTTACTGTGGTCAGTCATTCCAATCCCCAGAGCAGGCAGAATCACTCAGATGCCAGCTATGGTTCCAACACAGTCACCAAGTGCCTAGGCTGGGACCACTGGCCCTTGAGGTGAGTCTACTCTGGTGGGCACGAGCGTTCTATAGGGACCTCCTTGCCTTCTCTGCAGAACCTCTGCAGAACCAGGGTGGTTCTGTCCTGCCTGGGAGAGGCCAGGTGGAGGCTGGGAAAGTCTGGACAGCAGGTGCAGAGAGAGGACTGTTGGGCCACCGCACATTTCTGGGTGATCTCATTTCTGTTTCTTCCCCCAGGGGGCTGAGATCAGGATTCCCCTGTCTCCTTCCCTTTCTCATGTTTCCATCTGAACTAGAAATAGTCGAAGATACTTATAAGGACATTTCTCTCTTTCTCTGGGGTTGTTTTTTTTTTTTTGTTTGTTTGTTTGTTTGTTTTTTGGTCCATTTTAAGAGCTTTTTAAATATTAGCTAGATCAACCTTCTGTCTATGTGCTGTGTTTTTTACTTGTACTTTGACTTGGTTTATGTTTTGGCTGTGTAAAAAGCCTTTGTCTTGGGTGGTGCGTGTGGTTCAAAAGGGTAGGGAGCCAGTCCCATATGCTGGAGGTGGTGGGTTCAAACCCAGCCCCGGCCAAAAACTGAAAAAAAATAAATTTTTTTTGTTTAATATTTATGTATTAATTTGCCAAGTTGTTCTTCAGAACACATCAGAATTTTTTAAATATAATTACAAAACCCTTCTCAGCCAGCACAGTGGCTCACACACGCAATCCTAGCACTCTGGGAGGCCGAAGTAGATGGATTGCTTGAGCTCAGGAATTTGATACTAGCCTGAATAAGAGCAAGACCCCGTCTCTACTGAAAATAGAATAACTAGGCAGTCAGGTGCCTGTATCCCAGCTACACAGGAGGCTGAGGCAAGAGGATTGCTTGAGCCCAGGAGTTTGGGGTTGCTGTGAGCTAGGCTGATAACACAGCACTCTAGCCTGGGTGACAGACTGAGACTTTGTCTCAAAAAACAATAAAAAAAAATTTTTTAAAGTCTTCTTTACACGCAGGTTTTCACAGAATTACCCATGTGTGCATCTAGTTCTTTTATGGTTTCATTTTCTGCATTTATATCTCCAGTGGGTCTAGGTTTATTCTCGGTGACCTGTGAGATATATGTTTGATTTCATAGCTTTGCTCAAAACAGCCATCTAGTTTTCCCAGCACCATTTATTTAAAAATCCTTCTTTATTCTCCAGTGATCTGAGATGACACCTTTATCACAGGCTGAATTTCTGCACACAGCTGGGACTATTTCCAGACCTTTTATTCTTCTCCAAGGTCTGTCGGCCCATTGCTGAGCTGTCTGTAATAGCTTTAGCAGAGACACATATTTTATATCTGGTAGAAAATACATATAAGATATATATGTTATGTATAAAATATACATATTTAAATGCTTAGCTGCCCTCATCCCAATTGCTTCCAGGTGCTTCCAGGATTTTCCCCTTTCCAGTAGAAAGGAACTCAGTTTTTTCAAATGCACTCATTTACTTCGGGCACCCTCATGCCCCTGCAGCTTTATGATAACTTCATGCCTAGGGATAGAAAGGTTTTATTTGCTCCTTCTGGAACCTTAGTAGAGATGGTGTTTGGGTGTTTGCCAAAAGAATGGTTCCAATGACTTTCCTTTGTACTCACTGTGATACTTGAAAGGCTTACGGTGCTGTTGATCCAGGAAACCCTCATGGTCAGTTCCTTTGTAGAATGTACTTAACTTGCACCCAACTTTCTTCTCATTTCATTCCTTTTCTTTTTGAGATCTGTGATAAGAACCCCTGGGAGCCGGCCCTTGAGTGGGATTGAGTACAGGTGGAGGACCAGCCTAGAGAGAACGTCCCGCATGCTGGGTCACAGACTGCACCTTGGGCACCTGGGCGGGAACGCTCCCTCTTCCCGCAGGGTAAGGGCAAGCTGGGGTCTGGGCTGCTCATCTACACCATCAGACCCACTCTTCATTGTGTCCTCTCTCACTCCCACACCTTCCAAGGCTCCCCATGCCTAAGAGGCGTTCTACTCAGGGCCTCACCAGGAGCTGACTTGGACTCACAGCCCCTTACACCACATACTACAAATCTTCCCACCTTTAGCCTCTGCTCCTGGCTCTGCTCCAGCTCCACAGTTCCACCTGCTCAGAGCCTCTCCCTGGTCCACGTGGATCAGTTTACTCCTGGTCTCCATTTGAAATCTCTCAGAATGAGTGTGTGTAAACAAAGATCCAGTTTGGTTCTCAACTGACACACGGCTCCAGCTCCCTGGAATCACTGTCCTCTCTTGGGTCACAGGCTGGGTGATGTTCCCTGGGCTCTGTCTTGCTGGTGTCCCCCCCATAACAGTCTCAGCCCATTGAGGCAGATGGCAGGGCAGGGGCTGCAGGATTCTAGACACTCATAGTTGCTCAGGCATGGAGTTGTGTGTGAGGGCTGTCAGGTGGCCGTGAAGGGAAAGAGCCCTCAAAGAGGCAGGCAGGACAGCAGGACAGCCACTGAGTGCTCCTGGGGAGAGAAATCTTAGGAATTCAGGAATTTGCCCCCACGACTGGTGAGTGAGCAAGGACCAAAGGGAAGAGGGAGGAAGGTGCTGGCCTATCCTGGGAGGCCTGTCCCTCCTCCTCCGCTTCCCAAGCCCCATTTATCTTGCCACATCAGGACTCATGCCATGTCCCCAGAAAGCCCCCTGGTGACCTGGGGCAACACTCTGTCCCACTACCCTGCCCCATGTGACACGTCCCCAGTCCTTGGTGTAACAACCTCTCTGCCCGTGTGTCCCATGCAGTAAATGCTAACCCCACCAGGGCAGGAGCAGAGCCTCCAGGCGGGCACCCTTTGCTCTCATGACACAGAGAGTCATCCTGTGGGCCCGCAGGACTAAGAGAGAGGGAGAGCCCCTAGCCTGGGAACTGCGAGGCCAGCAGGGGAGGTCAGGAGGTGCCCACAGCCCAGCCAAAAGCTGTGAGAGGATTTTGATGGCTCCCATACATTTTGGGTGCTAGTCCCTGGCTGGATGGTGGTTGGCAGGTATTTGCTTCTGGTCTGTATTTTGTCATTTCATCCTCTTAAAAGGGTCTTTCATAGTGCATAAGTTTTCATTTAATGACTCCCAATTTATCTATTTCTCTTTATGTATCATGCTTTTGGGGTTGTGTCTTCAAATCTCTTTACCAGCCCTGAATGCCAAACTTTTCTTTTAGGATTCTCTTCCCTGAAACTTTACAGTTTTACATTTCACACTGACAAGGTTGGTCCACCTGAGTGGGTGTCCAAGGTGTGAGGCTCCAGCTGTCTTCGTGCGCTGGCCCAGCTGCCACAGTGGAGGACACTGCATTGGGAGGGGACACTCTTCCCCCGTGAGCTACTTCTGCACATTTATCAGGAACCAGGCAGGCACATTGTCTGGGCCCCTCCCTATTCTGTTGATCAGCACATCTGTCCTCCCAGCACACCACATGGCCTTTATAGCAGGTGTTCAAATTCTGAAGACTTGTTTTGTTTTCCCAAAGGCCTTCAGCTGCCCCAGTTCCCTTGATCCTCTGTGTGCACTTAAGGGAAGGTGAGTTTATCTCTCCAGGCTGGACACCCTGTGCTGGGAGGCAGGGCTGTAGGTGGTTTCCTCATAGCCTGGCATGGGCTCTCTTCTAGGGACTGGAGAGTCAGCCCAGTGCTACTTGACGATGTGCTTGTGCTCCTTTTTCTCTTTGCCCAGTCCGGCAAGCCAAGGCTATACCCCTCCCTGCTGCTCCATCCCAGCCCCCATCTTTGGCCCTGCCACTGCCCCACTGGCCTCTGTTAAGACCAGGAGCACTGGATTCCCTGCAGTTCCCACACCTGCCATGGGGGCTAGCAACAGGACAGGGGCAGCGGGATTAGGGGTGATGGGGGTCCACAGAGGCCAAGCCAGGAGCCAGGGAAGTGCTGGTCCCTCCATCCTCCTTCGGGGGTGCCTAAAATTCTAGGGGACATATGGAAGCTATTATCATCCAAATGGGGCTTCAAGACTCCCAAACTCAAGTTCCATACTTGGGACATATAAATGTTCTGCATAAAAGGAAAATTAGAATCTCAGAGTGGCTCCCTCCCCACAATATCCATTCCCTATGCACAAGAGCTGCCCACAGAGCACTCTAGAAGGAAGTGCCCTGCTGAAGGAAGTGCCCTGCTGACCTCACATAAGCAAGGACAGGGACTTGCCACGTTGTCAGCAGCTAGTCTACGGGCATGTCCATTCTGTGGCCCCTGGCTCCATGCTGACTTTGTGAGGACCTTTATGCTTATCTGTGGTGTCAGACATCACTGACAGTGTGCACAGACCTTGG